CCTTTAGTTCTGTTAGTAATATCTTCGTATATTTTGGAGCTCCCTGATTGGGAGCATAGATATTAATAAATGTTATGTTTTCTCGGTGCATTATTGCTTTATCATTATGAAGTGTCCTTCAGTATCTTTCTTTACCTTTTTTATTTTGCACTCTATTTTGTCCGATATTAGTACCTCTACTCCTGCTTTTCTCTGAATGCTATTTGCTTGAAATATCATTCTCCACCCTTTCACTTCGAGTCTATATTTTTCTTTGGAGCTGAGATGTATCTCGAGGCAACATATGGTTGGATTTTGTTTTTTGATCCATTCTGCAACTCTGTGCCTTTTTATTGGTGAGTTCAGTCCATTTACATTTAGGGTGATTATTGAAATATGAGGTCTTCTTATAGCTATTTTATCTTTTGCTCTTAGGTAGCTCAGTGTTTCCATTGCTTCCTTGTCCTTGTGTTTCTGTTTTCTTTATTTTGGTTGGGTTTTGTGGGTTTTGCCTCTGGTCCTTCTTGTTTTATGTTATATACTTTAGCTCTGAATCTTTGGTGTGTGGTTACCATTATGAATATGAAAACAATAGTTTTATATATACAGTAGTCCATTTTCTTCTGCATGTGCTTTATCTCCTTTCCCCTTTGTTAATTTGGATCTTTAATCCTCCTCTTTTTAGTCATTGTTATCTCAGTTAGTTCCTATGTATGCTGAACGGTCATTTCTATCTTGCTATAGCAATTGTCTTCTTATTATTTAAGCTCATAATGCCCTGTTCTTAGTAAGGGTTGCACTACTCTGCTTCTATTTACCTGACAGTCACTACTCCTAATTATGTATATATTTTCTTTTTTGTTATTTTGTTTTGGGTGAGCTGATGCCTTTCAATATTTCCTGTAGTGTAGGCCTTGTAGTGGAGAATTCCCTCAAAATTTGTATGTCTTGAAAGGTCTTAATTTCTCCTTCATATCTAAAGGACAGCTTAGCTGGATACATTATTCTAGGCTAGTAGTTCCTTTCACTTAATAGTTTAAATATTTGATTCCATTCTTTTTTGGCTTGTAAGGTTTGCACTGAGAAGTCCAATGATTATCTAATGAGTTTTCCTTTATAAGTTATCGTCTTCTATTTCCTGGCTGCCCTGAGAATTCTATCTTTGTCATTGATTTTTGATAACTGTAATACAATGTGTCTCAGCAAAGGCCTTTTTGGGTTGACATAATTGGGTTTTCTGTTGAGTTCTTGAATTCCAAGCTCCAGGTCATTCCTTAGATTTGGGAAATTCTCATCCACTATTTGTCTGAAAATGCTTTCTAGTCCCTGCTCCTTTTCTTCATCTTCAGTAATGCTCATTATTCTTATATTTCCTCTCCTGGTGGTATCAGCTAGTTCTTGTATGTCTTTTTATTATTTTTCATTCTTTGGTTTCTCTCTTCTTCCTTCTGATTAATTTCTGGGTTTTTGTCTTCGATATCACTGATCCTTTCCTCCATTTGGTGCTCTATTTCTCAAGCTTACTATTTCATTTTTCAACTCTTGAAGTGTGTTCTTCATCTCCAGAAGGTCTATTTGGTTCCCTTTGAGGGTTTCAATCTCCTTGCTCTGCTCATCTAGTAGTTTTTTTAATTTCTGAAATTATTGATTTGAGTTGTTTTGGATCTTATTGATTTTTTTCTGAAGTACCATCCTGAATTCTTTGTCATTTAAGTTGCATATTTCTATGTCTGTACACTTATTTTCTGGAGATTTTCTCTTTCTTTCTGAGATGCCTTGTCACCTTGGTTGTTCATGGTTTTTAATGGACTATTTTTCTGCCTGGGCATTAACGGAAGTGTATTCTGTTGTTTTTCCAGAAAGAAGATTTATTATATAAATTTTTCTCTTTAGCCTACTGCTGATCAAGGAAGTTGCCTTTTGGTTTCCAGTGGGTGGTATCTAAGCCTCTTGGATCCTTGCTTTATAAAAGCTTAAATGTCTTTTTTATTGTTTTGTAGGTATTTAATCACATTTTCTACTCTCAGTTTTAGTCCTTGTCAGTGTTAGCAACAGTTTCAGGAGTGTTTGCTCTGAATCCCCTGTGGCTCTGTGGTATTTAGTATTGGAGGGTATGGGGGGATGGGCCTTCTGGGTTGGGAGTTGGGGGCTGCGGCTCAACCTCGGTTTTTCAACAGGGGCCGGTAAAAGTCAACTGTTGTTTTTTTGTGGTCCCATCCTGCTTCTCTGCTTTCTACCCTGATAACTAGGCCCTGCTGCTGGCTGCTAGAAGTTTGGGCACTTCCAGGCAGGCTGATCAAGGAAGTTGCCTCACCTTCTCCCCTCCCTCTCCTGCAAGGAGCTCTGCCACTGCGAGAAGCAGTTTCTTCATTTCTCCCAGTCCGCCGCCCGAAACCCGGTGTTCTGACCCGGTGTTCTGTGGTAGCTCTTATGCATAGATCCCATGCACAGACGTGCTGGTGTGTAGTATGGGTGTTTTTTGTTGAGTTTTAGATGTTCAGCTTATTGATGTTTCAAGGGGAGAGATCTGAGGACATCTCTCACTCTGCCATGTTTCCAAGAATATGTGTTTTCTTTTTCTTTAAATTTGTCTTTAAAAATTAAATTTATTGGGGTAGCATTGGTTAATAAAGTTATTTAAATTTTACTTGTACACCTTTATAATACAACATCTGTGTACTCCATTGTGTGCTCCCCATGTAAATTTGAGTTTCCTACTTTAGTCATACCTCTGTTCTTCCTCCATGCCCCAATGTCCTTCCTTGTGGTAACCACATTTCTGTTGTCTCTATCTATTACTTTGTTTGTTTGTTTTATTTGTATTAACTAACTTGATTTTTTTTTTATTGAGGAAATAGCAGACCACCATTCCTTTGGGATTGATTATTGGAAAATTATTGTGTTCTTTTGGTGGTTTCATGTTTCTTGATTTTTCATGTTTCTCGTCTCTTGTATTTCTGTCTTCACATTGGAAGTAGTCAACTTTTCCAATCTTTACTGACTGTCTTTGAGAGAGAAATACCTTCTGTCATCCCTGCTAGGGACTCTGAGGCTTTTCGAGGCCTTTTTATGGATATGCTTGCCCCGCATTACTTGTTTCCTTTTGGGGAGGAAGCAGCAGATTTCTCAATATTGTATTTTTTCTCTTAATCCTATAAAGCCAATCTCAGTACTGACAGCCCTCTGTTTACTTTCCCTAATGTGAGGTTGCAGAATTATATATATAGGAGACAATGCTGAATGGGAAATAAAAATACCAATGTATTATCATTGGCTGAATTTGTGCCTGAAACACTAGTGAAGATTTCTCTGTAAGCTCATCTGCAATACATAATCTAGTTTGAAATACTAACAGGTTTTGCTTTCTCACTAAAGCCAACCCCAAATCTAAAGATGTCACCACTTTCCTAAAAGTTACATATGACTAAAGAGTGGAGCTTAAATTAACCAAGGATGTATGGGTGTGAAAAAAAGAAGGGGAACAAGATATTTAGTCTAACCCTCGATGGTAGGCCCAAGGTCAAATTAATTCTATGGTCACATAAAAAAATAACAAGGATAAAATGACAGAAAGGGAAGTTGTTCTAATATACATGACCTTTGAACACACACCATCCTATCCACTTGTCAGTGTTCTGGTATCTGACTCCAAAGAACAAGTCTAGGAAAAGAACAAATCAAAAGGTGGTAGGTTTTCTTTCCCCCCTTCTCTCAACACCATGTTATATTAGGAGAAGGATTAACTACATGGTATAATATGAAGGCCTTTTCTCTTACACCTGAGTGTATCTTTTCTACAGATGTCACATGGTTTAGTCTTCTACTATTGAAGATTAATATTTATGCATTCTGCCTCCTATTAATTAAAAAGATAGTCTTTACAGGAGTCATGTGAAAACATTGTAGAAGCATTAATAAAGGAAGAAGATGATGTGGGCTCAATCAATTATACTCACTAGTAGGCAAGATATTTTAATTTTCTAACTTAGTTTTCTTATCTATAAAATATGGATCAAAATATGTACTTCCTAGGGCTGTCCTAAAATACAGGAAAGTAATATTTTTAAACAGTTTGAACAATTAGCACATTAAATTGATTCACATTTTATCATTTTTTTCTTTTCCTGAGACAACTTAATAGGCTAGAGGCCTGGGCTGAGCAATAGGCCCAAGGAGAAGAGAATTGATGCCCAAAGAAATTAATTTTGCTTTAGTCTCTGTGATCTTCAGACCTCACCCTCAGTAATTCTCAAGCTTCAAAGAAATAAAACAAATGCTGTCTTAGAAGATAAGCACAGCATCCCACTAAAAAACAGGGCATGCAACATGCTAGTTCCTAACCTCTTGCTTCAAGCCCTGGAAGGTATAGGTCACTGATGATGAGTCTGGTGGAAGAAAAGCAAAAAAGTTAGAAATGAAATGATTCATTCAGAAGATCTTTACTGAGAAGTGGCCCTTGGAAAAAAATAAAGCAAGTCGTCAACCCTCTACATGAAGCTCCCTGTTTATTCTCACTCCTTAGGGAAGGAAAAATAACAACATCTAACTCAAGTTCTGGCCTAAAATGTGCATGCAGACTCTTGACCTGCATAGGGAACAGAAACTGCTTGCTTTTTACACAATGTTTTCGATTTGTTGAATATTTAATAAAGTAAGTTTAAGCTTAGCATACCTTTCTTGGCCACTGTGTGAGTTTTAGGTCTTCTCTTTAACCTATGCCCCTGTGACTACCTAGAAAGAATGCTGACTAAATTTAGATTTGTGCTAGTGAACAAAAATTAAGAAAAAAGCAGCTCTATTGATACATTAGAAATACAGGAATAGATAAAATTTTGTTTAATTTTCTTACTTGAACATTAATTAGATATACCTTATTCACAAAACATTGTAACAGGCACTTTACAGGTGTTGTCTCATTTAAAAATCATGATCTGAATATATTAAATGACAGATTTAATAAACACCCAGAAAAGGAGAAATATAGACCTTGTGCTTTACTTCTTGGAAAAAGCAGATTTAGATTAATGTTGTGGCAGAGAAAGCTTTCTTCCAATAACTCTACGAAGAGCTGATTTGAATTCTTTATTTCTCAAGCTGTAAATCATTGGATTGAATAATGGAGTTAAGATAGTGTAAGATATTGATATAAGAGCATCCTGGCTTGAGGAGTAGTTGGACTTAGGTCTTAAGTAGATAAAGGAGGCACAACCGTAATGGACAGTGACAACAATGAGGTGAGAAGCACAGGTAGAGAAAGCTTTGTTTCTGCTCAATGTGGAAGGAAATTGAAGAATGGAAGAGATGATGTGAATGTAGGATATCAAAATCAATAACAGGGGTATAACCAGGACTAATGCACAGAGCATGAAGATGACAATCTGATTAAAGTGAGTATGGTGAGATGCCACTTGGAGGACAGGTGAGATGTCACAGAAGAAGTGATGGAGCTGGTTGGATGAGTGGAAGGGCAGGCGAAATACCAGAGGTGTGATAATCTGTGCAACAGTAAAGCCACAGACACAGGCAGCAGCCACAAGTCCTACACACATTCCATGTCCCATGAGCACTGTGTAGCGTAGTGGGTTACAGATGGCCACATAACGATCATAACCCATAGCTGCCAGCAGGAAGGAGTGAGAACAGCCAAGAAAGAGGAAGGTAAACATCTGGATGGCACAGCCCAAGAAGGAGATAGTTTTCTTCTGGGCCAGCAGGTCAAGTAGCATCTTGGGTACAATGACAAAAGTATAACAAATCTCAGAGCAGGAGAGGATGGCAAGGAAGAAGTACATGGGGGTATGAAGGGCTCTATCTAACACAATGGTAGAAATGATGACAGCATTTGTGCCCAGAGTGAAGAGGTAAAGGAGCAGGAAGAAAACAAAGAGTACCCGCTGCAGACCAGCCAGAGATGAGAAGCTGAGGAAGACAAACTCTCTCACCAATGTCTCATTGAACCACTCCATGGAAGGTACATCATCAGGAAACAACCTGAGAGGGAAGAGGAAATGGTGCCAAGACAAATCCCTGAAAATTATTAGAATCACAGGAAATTGATCATTATAGATCACGTTTTCTAATTTTGAGTTCTAAACTCATTCCTCCTCACTTCATTTTTTTCTTTTTCTTTTTTTTCTTAAGGCATGAAGAAGTATCTAAAATCAGGTGAAAGTGTACAGATAATTTTGGGTTTCTATAGTAATTCTAACACCATAGGTAAAGTGTTCTTGACATTTCTTATATTCTACTATCCCTTCATCTTCATTCCCAGGATGAGGCTGGTATTACAATGCTTAGCCTCTCAGTCTCAGTTTATCCTTCAACTTTTGTCCATTTGGCTTTCTTGACTTCTCACCCTTCCACTTTACTGTAGCTGCAAACTAAACCATATGAATATACTACATTTATACATAACTTTATATATAGCTTTTGATTATTCTTTTTTTTACGTATAAACTCATCCCCTTAGTTTTAATCTCTTTATAACCTAGACCTACATTTTGCAATTCTGTTTGCCTTACTTCCTGGCATTCTTATACTCTCCTTATACATTCCTTCCACATTTTTATACTCTCATTATGCTGACCATATCTTTATTCTTTACCCAAATCTGGAAAAGAAAGTTCTCCAAAATGGAATATAATCATACATCCTCCAAATGCCTATTTCAGTCAGAGTCCTTTCTGCTGTAGAGAGAACCACAGTTTTTCTTTAAGACTCTCATCTGTTTTTATCACATTTTTTTTCACCTCCTACAAAAAATCATATTATGACTATCTTTCTCATCATCACCCTCTTATCTCTTCAATCTATACTTTCCCTAATGCTAGACTATTCTTCTGAAATATAAATTTTATTATGTTGCTCCCCTCCTCAAAAATTTTACTCATGGCTATAGTGTAAACTTAAAACTATTTATTGTTTTCAAAGTCTTGTTTTGGGAATCAAATTATGTTTTTGTCATCATCTATAGACTTAAATGGGATGCATAAGTATTATGCAAATATCTTGCATCATTCTTTGCTCATATTAGTTTGTTATATACTTTTCATTTATAAACATTTTATCATTATTCTGAAATCTCAGCCAAATCCACTTTTTTTGGAAGCTTCCTCGGCATCTCATAAAAGGCATTGTTTCTTATTCAGGATTCACATAAGACATTGGTTGACAAATTGATGTGTCATTTACTTAATTTTGAAATATTGTATTATTTTTTCCTCATATCTCTTTTCCACTAGATTGTGTATCCTTGAGGGGAAGATGCAAATTATATATATTTTCACTTGAATCCTCCTCAGCATCTAGAACCAAATTAAGTACCTAATAGCTTCTCAATATAATTATCATATAAATATAAAAGTTAACTTGGCATATTGGTATGTATCTCATTCATGTCATCACAGCTTTCCTCAGACTTACAGAGTTAGAGGATCCTCAGTATTATTTCATCCTTGGCATGATAATTGCTCAAGACTAAGAATACCTAGGATTACAGAAGGATGCTCAATAAATACATTTATTACTTTATTATTCTGTTGGGATTGGGATCAGAAATATTTTCATCAGAGATGTAATGAATGTTTAATTCATGGAAAGTTATCAAAATTGCCTTTTCTGTACTTTCCCAGGGAAGGAAATTTTAAGAAGGATTATCTTCCACTTGGGGCTTTCCAAACCTGATTAAAATTACCTTGGTTTTCCATAGAGTTATATTCTGCACAGGAAGTGAAGCAAGGGTTACTGATCTTGAAGTACCATACAAGTTTTTTGGTATCTAGTTGCTCTGTAGTCAGAATCATCCATGCAAATTATCTAACCTGGTAGAAAGCAAAGAAGGTTTTCTAAGTTTTCTATTTTATTTGGTGGGGGGTTATATGATAAAATTAGAAGATAAAATTATAGTTAATCTTAGTCACATCTCATTAAATCACATAAGTTTCTCATTATGGATGCTTTATAATTATTGATGATGTATATTTTATAGAACATGTTTTATCTACATATTTAGGTGTTAACCTTAACTAATTATTGTGCTCTTAAATATTGAAATAGATTATTTCATAATTGTTATATTTTATGATTTTATTATTTCAACTATGTCCTAAGAACTGCAGTTGTAAATATGAATAAAATTATTGTTCTTTTCTTAGAGAAGAGAGAATCAAACTGGCATATTATAAAATGGGTTATCATAAACATTATAAGTAAAATGTCCTGAAGATCTTGAGGAAAAAACAATTTTATGGAAAGCTATGAAGAACATAGTTTCTGAATATCATCTGTTAGCATTTTTATAAAAATGTAGACTAAATTTTAGTGGCATTACTTATGTAAACATTATAATCGAGATGATTAGTTTTTTCCTAATGTTGATTGGCCCTTCAGAATTGAGAAAGTTACCTGCTGTTTTCCAATATAAAGACACAAAGACATGCTATTTATGAAGGAAACAAATGTTTACACAAGTCTGTGAATCAAGAGACACTCATTTTTTCTCTCTTTTTTTAATCATAAACTTCATGTTGAGGTCACTAATTCAGAAACAATAAAACAAAAAATTCTTCTCAACTAAGTTATTTAAGGAGCATCATCCCAGCCTATCGGTCTATTAGTATTGATTTTAACATTTCCAGTAAGAAAAATAGGACACAATTATGGTATTGGTTTATCAACAAAAATTTAGAGACATCTTTTAGAACTATGACTTGATGTTTATTACATATTCCCCATATTCTAGATAAGGTGACATGATATATATATGTAT